AGTGGAAAGACCCAATAAAAAGCTGTAGATGAGTCGGAAATGAGTCGTCACAGAAAAGAGAAAAACATCACAAGCGTCAGATATTTGGCCTTTTACTAATTAAGGGTTTCTGCCTAATGAAATTGAGACTGCATTGATATGTGTGCATAACTGTAGTGCAATTTCTGACATTTTCAAATCGCAAATATATCTGAAGAAATGTTTTTAAAAGTCCGTTGTTTTGAGTATTTCTTTCAATGGGATTTTTTTGCCTTTTAAATATCCTACACTAGATTTATACGTAATTTCAAAGGAAATTTTATTTTAAGGATGGACAGGAACAGTGCAAGGGTTAGTGAAAGTGATGTGCTGACAATATAAACTTTTGCTTTATTCTAATATAGTCAAATATTTACGAATGAAGTGGTTTACTTTGTAATGCATTATTAGTAGGCCTAGGCTACTCGCTGTTTTGGATTTAATGCATTCCCACCAATAGGTGCCACTGCCAGTATTAAGTTAGTTTGCTAACTCCTGCCGTTTCACACCAAAGCTGTTTCTTATAGACACTCTTAAAGGGACAGTTCACCCAAAAATGAAAATTATGTCAGTAATGACTCACCCTCGTGTCGTCCCAAGCCCGTAAGACCTCCGTTCATCTTCGCAACACAGTTTCAGATATTTTAGATTTAGTCCGTGAGCTTTCTGTCCCTCCATTGTAAATGTATGTCCGGTATGCTGCTCTCCTTGTCTAGAAAGGAAATAAAGTAGGGCTGTCAAACGATTAATCGCATCCAAAATAAAAGTTTGTGTTTACATAATACATGTGGGTGCACTGTGTATAATTATTTTATATATATGAATAAACACACGGTTGTTTTACACACGCTATATTTAAGAAATATTTTCATGTATATACTGTATAGGCCTATAGTTTTATATATAAAAATATCAATATTTATTATATAAATATATATATATATATACACACACAAACACAAACTTTTATTTTGGATGCGATTAATCGCGATTAATCGTTTGACAGCTCTAAAATAAAGACATCATCAACTTAGTCCATGTGACATCAGTGGGTTAATTACAATGTTTTGAAGCATCGAAAATACATTTTGGCCCAAAAATAACCAAAACTACGACTTTATTCAGCATTTTATTGTCTTCCGGTTCTGTTGTGGATCCGCGTTCAGTGACGCTGCTGACGTGCGTCTGGTGCGCCCGTGTATTCGGGTTCAAATAACATGGCTGGGCAAAATAAATGCCAATCTTCCTCTGTGTGGAAATCCTTAGACATATTTGTGAAGATTGTTTTGTACAGCGTGCGTCTCCCTCAGACTGAACCGGAAGACGATACAATGCTGAATAAAGTCGTAGTTTTTGTTATTTTTGGACCAACCCAGACAGCAAACTGACATTGAATCAATGTGGAAACGACGTCTCTCATGATATTGAAACAACGTTGATTTTGCTCATCGAATTAACGTTGAACCAACGTCAGACGCGGCATTCTTCAAAGCTAAATGAAAATCGAAAATTGGTTCGCTTTCATAACGTTGAAACAACGCGTTGATTTCAAGTTGATTTTCCGTTAGTTTTGAAAGAATGACGCGTCTGACGTTGGTTCAACGTTAATTCGATGAGCAAAACAATGTCAGATCAACGTTGTTTCGATGTCATATTTCCACGTTGATTCAATGTCAGTTTGCTATCTGGGAACATATATTTTCGATGCTTTAAAACATTCTAAACTACGGGCCTATAGAGTGCCGAAGTTATGACGTCACTCTGTAGTCCAAAACGCAGAAGTGAGTTAGCATTTAGCACTACCGGTTCCCTCGCTCTAAAGTATGGTATTTTTGAATGGGTTTTTGCTAAATCGCCTGAAATAAGGTCTGTGGTGAACAAAGCCTCTAAATATTTTCACGTTTTGATCTATGACATAGAACACACAGTTATAGCCTGCTTGTAGTTTTTTAAACTGTCAGATCTTTTTCTCCACAATTCAACGGACAATGAATAACTTCTTAAGGAGAACTAAACCCGACAACAGAAAAAAAAAAAGATCTTCCATGGTTAACTAGTGACATGCATAACCTGATGAAAGAACGAGACTCAGCATTGAAAGCTGCCTTAAAATCAAAATTAGCAACTGACAGACTAAAGTTTGTAGGACTACGAAATAAGGTTACAAAGGAGATTAGGAAAGCAAAAGCAAATTTTTATTTTAATGTTATTGATCAAGCAAAGGGAAATACCAAACTAATATGGGAGAACATAAAGAGGCTGACAGGAAAACATCATAGTGGTAATAAACAGCGCTTTGAAATCTATATAAATAATAGTATTACACAGGATGAGGCTCAAATAGTATCAGCTTTTAATTCATACTTTGTAGAATCAGTATCATCACTGATACATAATCAATGTACCAATCCATTACCCATGGTGCCTGTAAATTACGATAAACCTGTATTTGAGATTCACGAAATATCCGAAGCTAAAGTGACAAGAATAATAAGTTCCCTAAAAAATTCCAAAGCTAAAGACGTGTATGGACTGGACACAATGTTCTTAAAAGAGTTTAATGAATGTCTGTCTAGTCCATTAACACATATTATTAATAGATCCATTAATGAAGGAATTTATCCCAAAGCGTGGAAGACAGCTATAATAACACCGATCCACAAAACAGGTGATACTTCAAAGGTCTGTAACTACAGACCAATTAGTATATTACCTATTGTGTCAAAGGTAATTGAGAGATATGTAGTAGAACAACTCACTAGCCACCTTAGTAACAGCCCATTTACACTCCATCCTATGCAGTTTGGTTTTAGATCGAATCATTCAACGGAAACTGCAAACTGCTTTTTTGTAGAGAATGTGAAATCAAAGTTAGACAAAGGAGGAGTTGTTGGGGCTATATTCCTAGACCTAAAAAAAGCGTTTGACACTGTGGACCATGGTGTCCTATTAAAAAAACTGTCAATGTTTAATGTCTCTCCTAATGTAATAAAATGGATGCAGTCTTATCTGGAACACAGAGAACAAAGGGTTAGGATAAATGATGAGGTATCATCGGCCATTAATTGTAACATTGGTGTACCTCAGGGATCAATTTTGGGGCCGTTGTTGTTTAGCCTGTACATAAATGATCTCCCGACTGTATGCACTGAGTCTGAGATTCAAATGTATGCAGATGACACTGTCATTTATGTACATGCGCTGGACAAACAGCAAGCAGCCTATAAGCTCATGGCAGTGATGGAAAGTGTTATGCAATGGCTTAGTGATTCCTGTCTTTATTTAAATATAAAGAAAACTGCATGTATGTACTTCACAAAGAAGTCAACAGACAATTCAGTAGCAAATATTTATATTGCAGGGGAACAACTGTCAATGGTATCAAATATTTAGGTATAATAATTGATTCGAATTTAACATTTAAAAAACAAATTAAAAAAGTTATAAATATAGTAAAATTTCACATGTCAAATTTCCGTCATATAAGAAATTGTCTGACTACAAAGGCAGCGACAATATATTTTAATGCTATGATTATGCCATATTTTTTGTATTGTTTGACTAGCTGGGCACAAGCCTCCAGCACAACCCTTAAACATGTGCAGTTACTGTACCATCAAGCTTCTAAGGTACTCGATAGGAAGCCTAATACCCATCATCACTGCCACTGTCTAAAAAAACACAATCTAATGACTTGGGATAATCTTATTAAATTCACAGACTCTTGTCTTGTTTTTAAAATTTTACATGGCTTAGCTCCCCCACCATTAACTGCTTTTATAAAACAAAAAACTACTGTTATTAGACATACAAGGTCTGTAACAAGAGGGGATTGTGTAATACAAATGAGAAGAACTGCCTTTGGTCAGTCAGCTTTTTCTGCGAGAGCAGCTCACACTTGGAACAGTTTACCTACATCTATTAAGGACACTGCTTCATATGGGCTGTTTAAGATTAAATTAAAATCATGGTTAAAGGACAATCAAGTGTGTACCCATATTCTGTAGTTTTAAATCATCTTAATCATGTTTTGATTTGTTGTTCTTGTTGAATGTATTTTATGAGCTTCTATGTATTTATAAGTATTGTTGATAGTTTGAATGTATTTTATCGGTTATTACATCTGCCCAGTGACTACAGTTGAAAATTAGCCAAGATGGCTAAACTGGCACATTTACGCAAGCGTTTATTAATGTGCATGGTCCCTGTAACTTTAAACTGATTAAATAAAAAAAAAAAAAAAATAAAAAACTTTACATAGGCTTCAAAATGTATAACTTTTGGATTAACTTGTAAAGATTATCTTGATAGACAAAACGTGTAAGGGTCACAACTCTTTGTTGAACACAGATCTTATTTTTTGCGATTTTCCAAAAGTCTATGTGGAAAATGTATCGCTTTTCGATCGAGGGAACCCATGCGCCGCTAACTTCAGAGTTGTCCTACAAAGTGACGTCATCACTTTGGCGCTTGCGACATTGACAAAATGCCCCAAATAAACTTAATTTTATGGTTATTAGCACTAGCAGTAAATTTCATGACACGTGGTCATGTCAACATGGCCCATAAGAGGGCGAACCGGTCTACATAAAATAAAATAAAACCTTTTTTCAAGTCCAAGTTAAAGATTAATGACTGGAGTCTCATGCGACTGGAAAATATTTTTAATCGTATTTCTCCAAACTGCTATTAATTTCTTTCACAAATAGGCTAACATATTTAACAACTCATACGTGACTTAATAACAACCGTATCTCGAGGTCTTATGTCAGTGGACTTTAAACCTCTGCTTCCAACAGCGATGCGCGTGCATTAGCTTGATTCTTTATGTATCTGAGATATGTATGTATTTTTAACACCCAAACAAACCAGTTGCTGAGTTACATAAAAGGAAGAGGACTCGCGTTGCACTTGCTAGAGAAAACACGCACGTTCTTAAAGTGAAAGAGCTAATCTGTCCACGGGCTGCAATGGGGCGTGTGTGTGTGTGTGTGTGTGTGAGAGAGAGACAGTGTTTCCAGTTGCAGATTTGCTCAGTGCGCACTCGGAGGAACAAGCCTTCAGTGTGCACTCATGGATTAATATCCAACTGGAGTAATCAATAGGATTTTCTACACATCAATGACATACTACCAGGACTTTTACACAGCGAAACCATGTGAACTTCACGCAACTGTTGTGGTTGGCCAACCAACAAGCTCGTTTCGATGATTTTAATGTCCCTTTTCATCGCCTTCATCGCAGGATTTTGGAATAGGCCACCAAAACTAAAAGCAAGGGTAGGACATGCGCACTGTGCACTTTAATGTCACTCAGAGATTGTCAAATTAATGTGTTGAATGCATTTCTATCGATAATGGTGAGCATGCATGACCCGTTGTGAGTGAAATGTCAAATGATCTATGTACAAAATATATCATTGAACCACGTTGTAAATATGTCGAAGAGCATGGCTGTAAAACGTGCCTTTTAACGTAGCCTAAATAAAATATGCAGGGAGACCATTTCAATCGGACATTTATAGACAAAATGTCTATTTCTATTCTTGCTGAAATGTATTTATAAGTATTTACGATATATATTATATCTATTTAAAAAAAATCATTTAAATATGTACCAAGAAGGCTCGAATCTATTAAATATGTTATATTTTTTGGGCATTTCACGTTATGTAATATATACGCCCCATGCGTTTTTGCTATTATAGGCTAGTATGTTATATATAGACATCAGGTCACAGTGCGCACATTGTGCACTAAAGCGTTAATACAATGACGAAAACGCACTTTAAAATGTGCACGTCAATCTCAATATCTGAAATGACTAATCAGGCTTGCAGGTGCACGCGCACTTCACGTTGCTTGTTGATCTTGAAATATTGCTCACTGTTCATTTCTGTGTATGTGAGTCTTTATGGCAAGCCATTTTATTAAATAACATTCTTTTAAACTACAAGTATGTATATTCTATGTTACTAGTAGCTTATGTTTTAAGTAAACAATCCAATAGTGACTAGTATCATTTTTAATTTGTTCTTTTTAATGCTACATATAGAGACTATTCCACTGTCACTGGCAACAAATTGCACATTTACTTATCTATTGACTAGTTTGAAAGTCTTACTGTTTATTTGGAAGAAACAGGCTATGCAATTGTTAGATACTACACTCTAAAAACCAAATTTGGGTCAAATATGGACAAACCCAAATATTGGGTTAAAAATTTAATTTAAAATTTTAACCCAACTTCAACTTTCACTTTCAACTTCAAATTTTTTAATTACATTTTTAACCCAACATTTGGGTTTGACCCAAATTTGGGTTGAAACAACCCAGCATTTTTTAGAGTGTACCCAGACAGCAAACTTACATTGAATCAACGTGGAAACGACGTCTCTCATGACATTGAAACAACGTTGATTTGCTCATCGAATTAACGTTGAACCAACGTCAGACGTGGCATTCTTCAAAGCTAAATGAAATCGAAAATTGGTTTGCTTTCATAACGTTGAAACAACGCGTTGATTTCAAGTTGATTTTCCGTTAGTTTTGAAAGAATGACGCGTCTGACGTTGGTTCAACGTTAATTCGATGAGCAAAACAATGTCAGATCAACGTTGTTTCGATGTCATATTTCCACGTTGATTCAATGTCAGTTTGCTATCTGGGTAGTAACTATCCCAGTTGTACAGTAACAACAACTGTAAAGACTAGTCGGATTAGCTACTCTATAGATTAACCTTTTTAACTAAGCTTTTAAATGTTACTTATTGTAGGGATTAGTGTTTTTATTCATACTAGGAAAACTGGAATGGTTAACAAAATCCATTTGAATGAGGATTACAGATATAAGTATTCTTAATTAATAGTGGTAAAGAAAGTAAATTGTTGATATCTAAACTACAATTCAATGGCAAAATGTGTTTTGTGACCAGTGAGAATACCATATCTAATAAGCAAGTACTAGTATGTAGTGAAAAGTTATAAGTGAAACTGAAATTGATACTGATTATTAACAATTATCTAGTGATGCACTGAAAGGAAGTTTTTTTGTGTGCATTTTTCCCATTTATTTTGCCAATTTTTCAGCATTGTATAAATTTAAAATTCTTAAAAGTTAAAAGTTTTGTCTTGCTTTTTAAAGAAAAAACTGCAAATTAAAAATATTTATTTAACACGTTTTAACATTCCAGCTGATATTATACCTAAAAAGAGCAATATAACTTAAATAAATGATGAAACTAAAAATATTAGTATTTTGCCATCTTTGATTTGCCATACTTCATAGGTTTAATGAATAAATGGCGTGCCAGAAACATGCATGTTCACTTGGTAAACACTAAACAGTATTGCTTTGTCGGTGTTTCTCAATTAATGATACCCTTGTGTATTAATTTACAGTAGTTCAGCATTTATGTTTTAGTTTCCGCATACTGTGCACTTTGTTTCCAGCAACTGTTATTCTTTCCAATAAATGAAAGAATCACTTCTCTGTCTCTGGGATTTTTGGCAGCCTTCTGAGTGTTAAAAAACATGTCTGTTTTTTTTACAGAGAACTGGAAGATGTGTTTGTAACCCTTGGTGCTTTGAGAATCACATGGAATGCCTTTTGAACTCAGAGGTTTGGAATTCTATCTTAATTCTGAGGTATATCTAAGAAATTAGACTGCTTATTTCTTTGCTAATTATGTGTAAATCTTGCGCAAACCATAGAGTGGGTTACAGAAACCAGTTGTCAAATTTTCACTTAGAAATTGCACAAATAATGACAAAGATTGTGCATTTTTGACTGAAATAGTATTTTCTTCTTAAAACTTATTTTATTACAGCGCTGAAAAATCATTGTTATTGCACTGGGGGGGGACAACAACAACTAAATGTAACACCTTTTGTGGCAATATGCCCCAATAACAGGTCATGTTGATAATTTAAAAGGATAATTCACCCAAAAATGAAAATTATATTACAAGAATACTTTTTGTGTGCAAAAAAAAGTGCGTGAGACCAATTCTTGAAACAGCAAATATACACTCTAAAAAATGCTGGGTTGTTTCAACCCAAATTTGGGTCAAATATGGACAAACCCAAATGTTGGGTTAAAAATGTAGTTTAAAATTTTAACCTAACTTCAACTTTCACTTTCAACTGTAATTTTTTTAATTACATTTTTAACCCAACATTTGTGTTTGTCCATATTTGACCCAAATTTGGTTTGAAACAACCCAGCCTTGTTTAGAGTGTAGAAGAAAACCAGTTGTTTTGGCCATGTTGTGCTGAGTCATTTGTATAACCTAATAATATGTAATGGATGATACAACTTTCCCCGACCTGATGTTTATGAAAGAAAAAACCTTGAGAACACAGTTCAGATCTACCCTCATACAGTATACACTCTAAAAATGCTGGGTTGTTTCAACTCAAATGTTGGGTTAAAAATGTAGTTTAAAATTTTAACCCAACTTCAACTTTCATTTTCAACTGTAATTTTTTTTAAATTACATTTTTAACCCAACATTTGGGTTTGTCCATATTTGACCCAAATTTGGTTTGAAACAACCCAGCATTGTTTAGAGTGTAGAAGAAAACCAGTTGTTTTGGCCATGTTGTGCTGAGTCATTTGTATAACCTAATAATATGTAATGGATGATACAACTTTCCCCGACCTGATGTTTATGAAAGAAAAAACCTTGAGAACACCGTTCAGATCTACCCTCATACAGTATACACTCTAAAAATGCTGGGTTGTTTCAACCCAAATTTGGGTCAAATATGGACAAACCCAAATATTGGGTTAAAAATGTAATTTAAAATTTTAACCCAACTTTCACTTTCAACCTCAAATTTTTTAATTACATTTTTAACCCAACATTTGGGTTTGGCCATATTTGACTGAAACAACCCAGCATTTTTTAGAGTGTATATATCCTGTATGTATATGACATTTGTCTAATTGGACTTTTGACTCTTTATAGTTCTTGAGTTACAGCCCTTGTGACAACATCAGCATGTGATGTGGGCAATCTGACGCACTAGATGCGTTGAATAATCTGTAATTTCTGAAGTCCTTTATCTGGTGCCACCCCGACTACAGAGTGCATAGCTAAGTGTGCACATCTTCAGCAAATTCTCACTCGACTTGTTTACAAGAGCAATCTCTGCCTTGCCATGCCTGGAGCAAACCACACTACTGTCTGCAATTGGCACTAAGTTGTTTGACCTTTTCAATTTTCGCACAATGGAAAGGGTGGAGAATTGTGACCTAGATTTCAGATTTAGATTTCAATTCCTTCATCACAATGGCGGTGAAAAAAAAAAAGTTGTATAAAACTTGACTCACTTTTAACTCTTTCCCCGCCATTGATGGAAACTTCCGTCAATCTGTGTTTTCACAGTTATATGGTAGGGGGCGCTATGTTCTATTTATGAAACGTACACTCTAAAAAATGCTTGTTTTAAACCAAATTTGTGTCAAATATGGACAAAAACAACCGTTGGGTTAAAAATATCATTTCAAAATATAACCCAATGGCTGGGTTTGTCCATATTTGACCCAAATTTGGGTTAAAACTTACAGTATACAGTGTTGATAAAAAAGGAATGCATGCAGCTAGAATAAAGCGGGTTGTTTTGTTTTGCTCTGTTCTTTCCTTTGATATATTGCATGTTCAGATAATCATGCAAGATAATATTCCAGGGGCCGTTTTGTTTGTTTTTTTTGTTGTTGTTTTTTTCAAAAACGCTGGCGGGGAAAGAATTAAAGGTTCCGTATAAAGGAGAAACGTCTTAAATTATTGCATAATACTTTAATGTTTTGGGTTATTTAAAAAAATGTTGGTGATAAAGTATGTTTACGAGCTGTTTAATTCATGTTTAAATGATATAAAAAAATAAAAATGAACTAAAACAAAATGACTAAATTTATGAAATGAACTATATACGAAGTGCCTGAATAAGTTTTTCTTCTAAAAGTTTACCTTGCTCTAAAATACCTTCTTTTGGCCAAAGTGCACATGAACATGGTGACACTATAATGCATTAGGCTTCCTTAAAAAGTGAAATGTCGATTAGTAATATTCATAATTCATTAAAAAAATACCAAGTATCTGATTACAATGCAGTGTTCTGGTGAACATCTGTGTGCTGTGGATATTTTCTGCTTATTAGAGGACTGTGTTATTAGTTTAGTAACCTGATATGACCAGCCTCTATTGAAATCAGTGCTTTGCACAACACACAGATGTACCGGATATTTCATCACTGATAATAATCAGGAATGTTTCATAAGCATCAAGTTATCATATTAGAGTGATTTCTGAAGGGTCACGTGACACTGAAGACTGGAGTAATGATGCTGAAAATTCACAGGAATAAATTATGTTTTAACTTAAATTCACTTATTTGAAATTGTAATATTTCAATTTTCACTATTTTTGGTGACTTGGCGAGCAGAAGAAACTTGATTAAAAATCTTACCAAACCCACTTTTAAGTGTTTTGAATCAGTCGATTAAAACTGCTCGTTTCTCTGGGATGTAACTGTAGACAGCAAAGCGGTGCACTAGGTTTAGGAACAGAGGCATACGCTGCATTATTGTGTCAGGGTTTGTGCATAAACACAAGCTTTGTGTTTAGAAGAGCAACAGAACGCAGCGAAACACGGGGTGGGGAATAAAGGCTTATGGAAAAAAACAGAGAAAATGTTAAACGGCTAAATGTCTGTTACTCGTTAGTTCAGATCATGGCACTTGGCGTTGCATGTGTATTGTGTGTAATGGTGGTTAAGCAATAGGTGGTTTGCAGTCACGTGATTGTGTTGACCCGCGGAATGCAGATGGAGGGCAGGGAGTGAAGAGCGCAATGGACGAGATGGAGGAAAATCCGTAATGTACTACTTTAGACGCTATTACAAGAGAAAAACCGAAACATATGTTGGACGTGATCCTTACGTTATGAAGAGGACCGATTTTCAACTGAATTGAGAGATTTGCCTGTAGATATCAGCAACTAACTCGCCTTACAGACATACTTTGACTTTACAAAGTTCGGAAACTGGTACGTTACACAAACAGCCACATAAGTGTATTTAAACACCTGAGTAATGTAATTATAAGCCACATAAATAAATGTATTAACTCACATTTGACGAAGTGATCACTGCACACACACACACACACACACACGGGCATTTTCCCATTCGGCTCCGCCCGACCGCAGACGTAGGTTTGCAAGGCATTTTTCCCGGTGTTTTTCTGTCAATTTCTTGTATTTTCCACCCTTAACAACAACTTTTGGCACACGATAAAAACTCCTCGTGGTTTGATCGATTTGAGCAACCGTAAACGACGCAAAAACATATGCATGTTGAGTGTGTTATAGTGCTTCCTAAATGTAGAAAATCACTTCCTGCCCTCCATCTGCATATCGCGCCATGGGAACGCAGTGGCGTGACGTCACGTGAAAACAAGCTATTGTGATTTCAGGATTATTGAGCATTTCTAACTGACGTCATAATGATTCTGTTTATGTGTTGTGTGTATGTTCAGCTGTCTAAGTGCTCTATTGCCCGTGGCTGAAGGTCAGGCAATGCAGGCTCTGGAAGACCTCAGGGGAGCACTAGAAAAGATGGAGCATTTATTCAGGGTAAGCGTGAAATATGATATTTTAATGGATTGTGCAACTTAAGGAGAAACTGCACAGTCGATTTATCTTAGTTTTGTGTCACAATACCTATGTTTTGTGCAATATATATAGATATAGATATATACACACACACTCACCTAAAGGATTATTAGGAACACCTGCTTGATTTCTCATTAATGCAATTATCTAGTCAACCAATCACATGGCAGTTGCTTCAGTGCATTTAGGGGTGTGGTCCTGGTCAAGACAATCTCCTGAACTCCACACTGAATGTCAGAATGGGGAAAAAAGGGGGATTTAAGCAGTTTTGAGCGTGGCATGGTTGTTCACAATCTGCTCAGTTACTGGGATTTTCCACACACAACCATTTCTAGGGTTTACAAAGAATGCTGTGAAAAGGGAAAAACATCCAGTATGCGATGGCAGTCCTGTGGGCGAAAATGGCTTGTTGATGCGAGAGGTCAGAGGAGAATGGGCCGACTGATTCAAGCTAATAGAAGAGCAACTTTGACTGAAATAACCACTCGTTACAACCGAGGTATGCAGCAAAGCATTTGTGAAGCCACAACACGCACAACCTTGAGGCGGATGGGCTACAACAGCAGAAAACCCCACCGGGTACCACTCATCTCCACTACAAATAGGAAAAAGAGGCGACAATTTGCAAGAGCTCACTAAAATTGGACAGTTGAAGACTGGAAAAATGTTCTGATGAGTCTCAATTTCTGATGGTAGAGTCAGAATTTGAACATGGATCCATCATGCCTTGTTCCCACTGTGCAGGCTGGTGGTGGTGGTGTAATGGTGTGGAGGATGTTTTCTTGGCACACTTTAGGCCACTTAGTGCCAATTGGGCATCGTTTAAATGCCACGGCCTACCTGAGCATCGTTTCTGACCATGTCCATCCCTTTATGGCCACCATGTCCCCATCCTCTGATGGCTACTTCCAGCATGTCACAAAGCTCGAATCATTTCAAATTGGTTTCTTGAACATGTCAATGAGTTGACTGTACTAAAATGGCCGCCACAGTCACCAGATCTCAACCCAATAGAGCATCTTTGGGATGTGGTGGAACGGGAGCTTCGTGTCCCACAAATCTCCATCAACTGCAAGATGCTATCCTATCAATATGAACCAAAATTTCTAAAGAATGCTTTCAGCACCTTGTTGAATCAACGCCACGTAGAATTAAGGCAGTTCTGAAGGCGAAAGGGGGTCAAACACAGTATTAGTATGGTGTTCCTAATAATCCTTTAGGTGAGTGTATATACACATATATAAACCATCTGGCTTTATCATTCAGAAGCCTAATTTCCAAACATCTTCTTTTCCAGAATTCCACTGCAACCTTGTACACTCCAAATACTGAGAATATCAATGTAAGTTCACTTACATAACTAAAAGAAATGAAAACATTTGGATGAAATATAAGCAAACAAATGAGTTTAGTAACACTGGCATGGAGTCCTGCATACACCCAAATTCTGTTTGTTCGTTTGCAGGAATGCACATATAAGCTTATCGACTGTTTTGTGATGGAGATGAACGTTCTCTTGTATGAAGAAGAGCCAAAAAATGAGTTGCATACTCTGATCGAGCAAACCTTAAAACATTATGTAAGTCTGCATAAGAACTGCAAGTTAAAGCAATAACCACAATGTGTGTGCCGGGGTTGTCCATCATTCAGAGTTAACTAAATATTGAGGCAGGAGAATTCGAACTCATTTTTTTTATGTTAAAGCATAAATGACTCATAAACATGGCAATGGGCTATATGCACGCATAAGTTCCGCATTTGACGCAAGGATGCTCGGGTTGTGGAGATTTAAGCGGAGGAGGAAACAGAGGAAAACGGGATTATGGCAGAGTCTTCAAAATTTACTGTCCTCCCGTCTTTGAAACGAAACGTACATACGTTTAGATGTAATTTTATATATAGTTATGTTTATTTAATATAATTTTAAAAAGAAGCATAAACACAACAAGGGGTGTCTGTTTTATCTGTTTTTGTGACTAACGTTTCTTTATTATAACCATGGAGTATAAAATTCAATATAAATTCTCGGTACTGCATTGGACTCTACGATCGGCGGAAGTTATCGAGCATCCTTAAACCTTCACCGGAAATACCGCCGTGCATAGAGCCCATACACACAAAACATTAGATTGTATTAACAGTCAACTTTGGCACTAAAGAAATTTGCATTTAAAATAACAGGTCACCCAAAAATTCAAAACTAGCCCAAGATTTACTCGCCCTCAAGCCATCCTAGGTCAGAGGTCACTCTTCCGCCTAAACGCAACTCTCTCTTGAACGTTGCCGTAAGCCAGTGATGATAGATTATTAAGTTATATAAATGTATATTTTTCTTACACAAACGCATGGCTTCGCCTCAGAAGGCCTCTAATAACCCCCTGGAGTCGTATGGATTACTATGATGGATGGATGCACTTTTATGGGCTTTGTCCCACATTTACTCCCATATACAGTCTGGAAAGCCAGGATATTTTTTTTTAATAATAACTCCAATTATGTTTGGCTGTGAAGGCGAGTCAATTTTGGGATAATTTTCATTTTTGGGTGAAGTAATAATACTTTAATAATATATATATATAGTGTTTTTTATTAGTATTATTGAAATATTATAGCTGAACAATATATTTATATATAAAGTTGTGCACAAATAGTTGAAATTGATTCAATGTTTGTTCCAGTGGACTGATTTTTTTAAACGAATCTTCCTGTAATCCCAATTTAAGTTCACAGTCATGAATCGGAAGGATCCGAATCTTCAATTCTGAATGATGTTGATATGTATAATAATAAATGACGGTCATGTTGCTGAGTTTGTGTTTGGCCTGCTTCTACAGGAGTGTAAAGGAAAAACATACTACTGTGAACAGGAACTCGCCAACTCCATGGTTTTCTTTGAGAGGATGAGGACATTCCTCCAGAAACTGTCTGCAGTTTGCCAGGGAGAACAGAATGCAACATGTGTTTAGAATCATACTTTATCTCACTGATTGCATGTACAATAAGCTCATTTATCTATTATCATTTTAAATTATGCTATTATCTTTTTTTTATCACTATTTATATCACTCTGAAAGTGTCACTTTGTTAATACTGTAAGAATATATTTTGTAGCAAGGGGTTTTGTGAATAATTTTTCAACTGTAAATGTCTTCGAAATGTACAGAATTTTAAGGTGAAATAGTAAAAATTGTTTAATGTAATATAGCTTTTATATAGTTTTATATTCCATGTATTGCTACATTAAAGCATGTTTTATTAACAGAAACAGTTTGTTGGCATGTCGAGGTGAATTGGATTGGTTTCTTGTCTCAATACTTGTGCATTTGCTCTGAAGTGGATTACAAAAGGTTGATTTAAAAAAAGAAATCAGCCACTGATAATGACTCTGTCTGGAGGAAACGTAAGGCCTGATATCAAAATTTAAAAAAAAAAAAAACTTAAAGGAACAAAGATCTATTATTTTGCTTATCCAAGGAGGAATATCCTGTGGAAGTTTACTTTGAACTCCACGCCTATCCCATGTGAGCCAAATACTTGTTAATGTCACCGTGATAGATTATGAAATATAAATCAGTACGTTGAAAATAACGATTGAATTATTTCAGCATGAGTTATTTAGCTGCTTACCTGATGTTGAGCTGGTTGATGCTGAGGGTGATCACGGCCCACTACAATAAGGAGGGTTAATGATATTTTTGCCTTAAAATTCATCTTTCATCACTAAAATTACACATTAATTCAAAGAAAAAACATTTATTCATTCCTTAAAATAGCTTGAATGTAACTCGACACCCTTGCCTCATTTAGTATACGTGGCTATGAATATGCAAATGAGCCCGCCTCCACTCACTCACTCAGCTCAGAGATCCACTCGTTGACGATCACACATTGATCTGATTGGCTACAAGGTAGTGAGTGATGTCAGAAACACCATCGATTTCAGATCGTGTGTTTGAGACTGTCTTTAGTGCAGTTTTAAGCAGAAACGGTAACACTTTACAATACGGGTGCACTAATATGCATTAATTCATGCTTAACTAATGCACAGATAATCATGAGTTAATATATAACTCATGAAGAACTAAACCATCAATTAATGATTACTGCATCAACAATAAAGAGTCTATATGATTAATAGATTAAGTAATACATGAATTGCTATTAATTCAATGTGTCTTTGTGTATTAATTCCCCAATAACATATTTTAGTAACTAATAGTGTAAATTAATGTGTTAATTACCACAATTAGTCAAAGTTCAACTTTTTAGTTCAACTTTCAGATGTCTGCTTTAATTAATCATTAGCTAATGATTTTCAAAGGTATCATTATGTTATGACTTAACTTGTTGGGGCACATCATTATTAACTAGTCATTTAGTAATTGTAGTAATTTGCACATGAATTTGCACTAACAATGAAGTAATTAATCATGTATTAATGCATATTAGTGTACCTGTCATATTATCTGGAAGTTGAAATACAAGGCTTTGGCTCATTCTGGTAATTAACATATTAATTAACACTATTAGTTAAAAAAAAAGTTATTATGGAATTAATACACAATTACATATTTAATTAATAACAATTCATGTATGAACTAATACATTAACCTTGTAGACTCTTAATTAGTTCCTAATGTGGTAATCATTAATGAATAGCTTAGATAATCATTAGTTACACATTAATTCAGTATTATCTGTGCATTAGTTAAGCATGAATTAATGCTTATTAGTGCACCCGTATTGTAAAGTGTTACCGCAGAAACTACTTAGCAATGCTGTCCAATTATGAATTTACACATGGTTTGTGTATTAAAGCGTATTAAAACACCACATAGACATATAAACAACATTAAAAACTTGATTTTCACCACAGGCAAAAAGAAAAGAACATGGCAGTAGCTAAAAATGGAGTATATAATCAGGTAAAGCTTTAAGCATAAGGTTCATTGGTGTGTAGAGTATGACTTTACAAACATTTGACATTAAATAAATATCATTCAGTGTCTTAAAATGTGCAGTAGCTTTTTCCATAGTCTAATTCTCTTTTCACATAGCTAATAGTTATCTTTATAGGTGTAAAAGGGCTTTTATTGTTACTTTTGTATTCGCAGGAAATAAATAAATAGTGAATACTTTGTGTGTAGGCCTATATAACAGCTGTGGTGGTGGTTAAGGGCATATATACCTCTACATATCTGACATCCTTCCATACAGTAATCTGTTTCATTTCCGGACGGAGAGATATTGGGAATATGCATGTCATCAATGTCATCCAACCACATCGGAGATCTTAAAGAAAATGCAAATGATTTGGTTAACTAACTTCCAGAGGTCGCAGTCATGTGTTATCAAGTGAACACCATTTATCAGATTAGTCTCATTTAAAAGCAATGTCTACCACTGACCTGCAATCCTGTGAAACTCTTTAATGGCTCTAGCAGGTTCAGGAAACCACAGGACAAGAGCCACACTCTCCTTCCCAGCGAACTTCGGCCTTACTATAATGTGCTGTTATATAACTACCAAATAAAGGTATTTGGCAAAAGAAGGAAAAATCCCCTCCTGATGTAAATGTAAGTTACCTCAAGTCAAGTCACTATTTATATAGTGCTTTTTACAATGGGCCAACAGATTGAATCAAAGCAGCTTCACAGTGATAATAACATGAAAATAATACAACTAACTTGTTGTTTCTAGAAGAAAATTGAGTCATCGTCCACCTCAAAGGGGTGGTTCAGTATTTTGGACGGTCCTCATTTTCAAGTTAGCATGGGTGTTGTTTATCAGTGGTGCTAGGCTAGCGCGAGTCAACGGTAACGTTAACTGCTTGCCTGCAATTATCAACAGTTTCACGTACTCCACAGTACACCAAAGCAAATCAATTATAACGCCAGACTATCGATGTAAATGTCTTTGAACTAGTTTCTCAGCAGCGGCGTAATTTTAATTTGCTCCGGTTAATCCTGCACAGAAAAGTTAACGCAGAATCGAAGCGCAAGGTAATATCACTCCGCCGCGGCTGTAACTGTGCTAATAAATACAGGGAACAAAGTATAATAACTATTGCAATGCGATGAAAGGGTAGTTTAATTTCTAACATTATTCTCTCAACAGACATTTACATTGATAGTCTGACGTTATAATTGATTTGCTTTGGTGTTCTGTGGAGTGGGTAAAACTGTTTTTAATGGCAGGCTAGCCGTTGACTCGCGCTAGTCTAACCACCCCTTTAATTAATCTAAATTGACGCTTATGTTCGCCAAACCCACACAAGGATATAATTAGCTAGAACTATGCAGTCAGCACGGAAGGGAGGGGGAGGAGATGAGATGCGGAGGAGGGAGAGTCTAGCCAGAGCCCGTCTAACGGAGTTGTGTATTATCTTGGTTGCAGTTCCATTAGAATTCCACTGGAGGTGATCGCGGGCGAGAGCAGAATGAATGGGAGTCTATGGGGCTACACGGCTAAATGCGTCTCTTTCACCTGCTTGTCGTTAAATCAACAAAGATTTTATTGTTGATTCCGCAAGTTCAATATAGATTATAGGCCAAAAGTCGAATGAACGAGTACTTATGTCCTTTTGATTTCTTACAGGTTAGGCTGTTGTTGGCCGGAACACGCTAGCATTTTGCTATTGTGTGACGTCATCACAGTTTTGAAGGGATTTTTAGAACAGATAAGTGAACTTAAAAATGCAATTTTCAGCTGAGTGTATTTTCTTAGCCCTCCCTTTTGAATGCAACTTTCAAATTACTTGACAAAAAATTACATCCTGAGAAACGTGGATTTTTTGGGGTGAAACCCCATTGACTCCCATTCATTCTGCACTCGACCGCGAGCGCCCACGCATGGACAGAGATGTGTTACTGCAGCCAGTCCAGAACCCGGAAGTAACCAGCCAGTACCTATTCTCTTCAATTAGACATTCTCTGGTCTAGCTAGCCTCCGATTTGTTTGAAAATATTCCGAACGTCAACACCCAGGATCGCTTAGACAACCTTTAAGGCAGATAAATAATATAGTGGAATATTAAATGTCCCCAACTTAGCAAGCCAAAAGCCAAGGCCAAGTCAACTCTCTAACGTTGCGAATGAAGTCCTCCGCATCTACAGGATCCTGTATAAAAGGACATGCCATTTTTGTCAGGATAAAAAATTGCGCAATGAATTGAATGAATGAATGAGTATTTTTGTCTTTTTGTGTTTGCAGTCAAAATATCTGAATATTTATAAATCAAAATGCATTATATAATACATTTATTACATGGCTTGGTTGAATTCTAGTAGTGCGGTCTGTTATTTTTTGCTATAACCGTTGCCATGGAAGCAGTACAGAGACGGAACGTACTATTTTCTTTAGCGGAAGCAATGCATTCGTTTTTTTTTTAATCTATAATAAACTCCGTTTTGAATTAATATTTTGAGTCAAATTATTGATTTATTTGGTAGGTAGCCATGTAATAAGCGGGATAATGTATAGCGAGGCGGTTATTATAGCGAATATACAACCTGATTCAAGACGCCTCTTCTGCTTCGCGTCGGGCTCATAACCAGCCTGTCAAGGTTGTATTCGCTATAACAACCTCCTCGCTATACATTATCCCTTACATGAAAATGACATTAGGTACGTTTCCTGTGGGAAAACACCAGAGTTTTCCTAATTTCGGGGCGAACATAACGTTACTTCTGAAACGTCGTTAAATGGTCTCTGACCAGAAAGCCGATCGAGGGGCGAGGACTGTCCGTCAAGAGGTTACAAACTGCTGTGCTTATGAATGAACAAGCTCCCATAAAGGATAAATGAAGGCCAGCACTACTTTAGCAGGGAATGTGTATTTCTTAATCGTATTATTTTTGTAATACAACGCATCCAGTTAGAGGGCTGATACTGAAACACCCGCTGATGAGTAGCTACTTTAGTTTAGTGTATCCTGCGCTCAACTGTATTATATGAAGAGTTCAGATGCAAAAGCCTCTAAGTGCCATTTGAAATGTTCTCCTAGAATGATCATTTTTATCAAGCTTGTATATTTAAGTTCAGTAATTTCACTTAAATGACAATTAATAGGTAATCTTCATTGCAATTTAAGTGAAATTACTGAACTTAAATATACAGGCTTGATAAAAATGATCATTCTAGAAGAAAATTTCAAATGGCACTTAGAGGCTTTTGCACCTGAAAATTCATATATACGGTATATATAAACATTTACTTAAGCAAAACTGTGTAAGATGTTAAGACTTGTTTTCGGTTTTAACATCTTACATTATACCTCTTGAATTATGTTTATAGCTCTTCCCCAATTAGTAACTAGTTTTTTAATTATTCCAACATGAACCAAATATAGAAGAAAAAATAAGCTATGGAGGTCAAAGAAAATATTTCTCCTTTGTACACTGTAAAAAAGGACACCATGAAAGCAATCTAGTTGAATGAGTTTTCAAATGCCTCTATAAGTGGTGGAAAGTGGTCAAAAAAACCTTTTAGACTTTAACACCTGTATTTAGAGTCGTCCACTTGCGATCCATTCGACCGAAACACACCTTAATACCAGGTTTTATATCCCACAATCCTGTGCTTTCCATTCTGTGACAGATGAGCTGAAAAAAAAGATGGAGTCAAAGTTGCGGCTACACGTTTTTAACCAATGGTTTCCACTTCTGATGCAATAAATTACTATTGTATAGCAAAAGATCAACAGCATAATGTATCAGCTGACTTCATAGCGAACTGATCAGCACAAGTTCAGAGATAAAATGTCAAGTGTTTTCTTCGTTTCCTTGTTTGTTTGTTTCTGAAACGTGCAAGTCACTCGTCCCAGAGAGACGTTCTGTTCTGACGGATGACAAACATGAATGTGATCAGGCAAGAATAATCAGACCAACTCAACCGTGCAAGGCACATTGCATTTCTTCCAAAACATATAGTTTGGCTTGAAGGATCAGTCATTATGAATCTGGTCCACCTGTACCGCGATAAGCATCTAAAAATACCACACATTAAAGTGCAAAATTAAAGAAACATGTCCAAGAATCACAATAAAACAAACGTACATGACAGTGAAATGAATTTATATGCCAACACAATTATAAAAACAAACAGTACACACTTTCAGAAATGCCTCAATACAAAAAGATAACAGTGACAACAAAAGATTTGTGGTGTTGACACACATCTATACAGACGTGATGACGGGTGCAAACAGCTACAAGGCATTCAAAGCTACATATTCAGAACCATCGCTTTCTTTTCAGAAAACATTTGTACACATTTGACATGTAAAAAAAGAAGTATATATTTACTATAGTTTACATTTAGTATTTTTAAATAATTTTTAAATAATGCACCGCATTGTTTCATGAAACCATAAAAAAGATTCTGTTTGAATATGCATTCTGCATAGTTAAAACATAAAAAAATGTAAAGAAGCAAATTTTCTGCTCCTCATTGGATGTAATGTTCATATGCACACATACTGTATGCACACACACACACACACACACACACAGCGGGGTTCAAAAGTCTGAAACTTACAACATGGTGAGTGAAAATTTAAATTAAAAGAAATTGGCCCGGTTACACAGACAGGGTTTAGATTAAAGAGATAGTTCACTTTGAAATTAATTTTTGGTATGCTTTATCTTACCTCAAGGGCATCCAAGATGTAGGTGTGTTTGTTTCCGCAGTAGTTTCAATTTTGATATTTTTAGGTCAAACCGTTCTTGTCTGTCAGCCTTCAGATCACTTGGACGTGGCTGTGATTACAAGAGATAAAAACGATATAAATACTGTTCGTTTTCTCACACAAACCGCTCGTTTCGTGTCTTAGGCCATCAGTGTGTACTTACATTTACGAGTCATTAAATCATGTTTAATTTGGACTTCTCTGTGCATGCTCTTTGAGGTGGTGACCATAGACCTCCATTATATGACTGACAGACAAGAACGGTTTGACCTAAAAATATCAAAATTAAAAATACTGCGGAAACAAAGACACCAAATCTTGGATGCCCTTGAGGTAAGCTAAAAAATTAATTTCAAAGTGAACTATCCCTTTAAGTCAGGATTAGGCTTTAGGTCAATTAATGCCTGGTTCAGATTACACGATTTTAGCTCGATCCGTTTGTCGTGGGGATTCGTAAACGACAACAGGCATCTCGTATAGTGTGTCATAGAGGACGACAACGGACACCGCGTCTCCGATGCGTCACAACATCACGATAAAAAGACTAGCATGTTTAACGTGTGTATGTGTGTGTGCGAGTGTATATGTGTGTGTGAAACGGCACGTGATGACTGGTCGGGAAGCAACCTGAAGTCTGACATCATCTTGTCCACGACACGACACGGTTTTAGGAGTCAAAATCGTGTAATCTGAACCAAGACATTTATGTAGCTTCTATAGGCATGCCTTAAAAACATTACTGGTGAGCATCTTCAGACAAAACAATGACACAGACATCATTTAAGAAACATCAGTGCGAGTTAAAACAGCTCAAACGTGAATTTCAGTCTAAAACTTTAGTCTGTGAAACCGGGCAATGAAGTATTTGCTTTATAAGGTTTTACTCAAGCATTATTTATAAATAAATTTAAGTAATTCCATATTGTTTTTTTTTATTTTACTTTCCAAATTTGACATCCAAGATGTTCAATGTGGACTTCACTGCATCTCTAGATATTAATACTGGTGTTTCATCACGAGTCCACCTTCCCATACGTCCCCTCAGGAGGCCGGTAGTATTTGGGAAAGGCAATCAGCTGGAGCTTGTTGAAAGCATATTTTCTGCACTTTATATTCTTTTGCACATTCTCAATCCGGCAGCCTTCTCTGATGAGGGGAAGATGAAGACAGAAAGAAAAAGGGAAGGGATGATGATGAGGACGATGAAATCATAAACTATCCAAAACAACAGTGCAAAGGCTTCAGTGTTTCTACCTGCCAGTTAATATGCAAAGAATGAGGAAACATTACCATCTACTCACTAAATGACACTTCAATTCTGAAAGCGTAATGCAGAAGATCTGTGACGAAAACAAAAAACATCCTCTGATGGGAAACATGTATCTGCTGAAATGATTTAAGATCAACAAAAACAATTGGTTTTGCTTTTACTTAAAGGAACGATTCACTCAGAATGAACATTCGGGCATTATTTAAACGCCTTTCCAAACCTGTGTGAGAGAGTTCATGCTTCACTAAGAAAATAACATGAGGGTGGAAGACATGAGGGTTCAAAGTAAACAAAGAAATATTACCCAAAACCTGTTAGTTGCTAGTAGCGATAAAACATCAATTCCCGGTAAACATACATCAGCCAGTCCCGTCCGAAACAGAGTAATTGGTGAAGACAGAGAGAGAACCACTCAAGGAAGCAAGGAAGAAGTTAGACGCAGCTGGGTTATAGCATAATCAGCAGTTTATTGGTATTTTGCAAGCAAAAAAACAAGACTTAAAATGAGCCACACCACCAGCAGGTGCGAGCTGACGAGCAGAAGGGCGATGGGATAGAAGTGGCGCGACGCCGGCTTGTTAATAGCTATGGATCCCGCTTCAGGGTCGTCCCACTGGGGAACCTCTCCCTGGGCCAGGAGACCGCTGAGCGTTCCCAGACCAAACGACAGAGAGAAACAAGCAAACATCCAACAACAAGTTAGTTCAATGCGTCGGTTTGAGGACACACACACAAACAAATTCAAGAAGAGGTGAAAAGGGTTAGTCCGACATAGACACACACACACAAACACACACATTCAACAAAATGCCAATACAAACCGATTTTAAAATGATGACTCTGTTGGTATTGGTCAGATGACCCAGTCTGTAGTGATTGTTCTACTCTGCTCTGATTGGTCAGATGGCCCAGTCTGTAGTGATTGGTCTACTCTGCTCTGATTGGTCAAATGACCCGGCCTGTTGTGATTGGTCACATGAGCCAGTCTGTTGTGATTGGTCTACTCTACTCTGATTGGTCAGATGAGCCAGTCTGTTGTGATTGGTCTACTCTGCACTGATTGGTCAAATGACCCAGTCCGTTGTGATTGGTCAAATGACCCTGTCTGTTGTAATTGGCCAAATGACCCAGTCTGTTGTGATCGGTCAAATGACCCAGTCTGCTGTGATCGGTCAAATGACCCAGTCTGTTGTGAGTGGTCAAATGACCCAGTCCGTTGTGATTGGTCAAATGACCCAGTCTGTTGTGAGTGGTCAAATGACCCAGTCTGCTGTGATCGGTCAAATGACCCAGTCTGCTGTGATCGGTCAAATGACCCAGTCTGTTGTGATTGGTCAAATGACCCAATCTGTTGTGATTGGTCAAATGACCCAGTCTGTTGTGATTGTTCAAATGACCCAGTCTGTTGTGATTGGTCAAATGACCCAATCTGTTGTGATTGGTCAAATGACCCAGTCTGCTGTGATCGGTCAAATGACCCAGTCTGTTGTGATTGGTCAAACGACCCAGTCTGTTGTGATTGGTCAAATGACCCAATCTGTTGTGATTGGTCAAATGACCCAATCTGTTGTGATTGGTCAAATGACCCAATCTGTTGTGATTGGTCAAATGACCCAATCTGTTGTGATTGGTCAAATGACCCAGTCTGCTGTGATCGGTCAAATGACCCAGTCTGTTGTGATTGGTCAAATGACCCAGTCTGTTGTGATTGGTCAAACGACCCAGTCTGTTGTGATTGGTCAAATGACCCAATCTGTTGTGATTGGTCAAATGACCCAGTCTGTTGTGATTGGTCAAATGACCCAGTCTGTTGTGATTGGTCAAATGACCCAGTCTGTTGTGATTGGTCAAATGACCCAGTCTGCTGTGATCGGTCAAATGACCCAGTCTGTTGTGATTGGTCAAATGACCCAGTCTGTTGTGATTGGTCAAATGACCCAGTCTGTTGTGATTGGTCAAATGACCCAGTCTGTTGTGATTGGTCAAATGACCCAGTCTGTTGTGATTGGTCAAATGACCCAGTCTGTTGTGAGTGGTCAAATGACCCAGTCTGTTGTGATTGGTCAAACGACCCAGTCTGTTGTGATTGGTCAAATGACCCAATCTGTTGTGATTGGTCAAATGACCCAATCTGTTGTGATTGGTCAAATGACCCAGTCTGCTGTGATCGGTCAAATGACCCAGTCTGTTGTGATTGGTCAAATGACCCAGTCTGTTGTGATTGGTCAAACGACCCAGTCTGTTGTGATTGGTCAAATGACCCAATCTGTTGTGATTGGTCAAATGACCCAGTCTGTTGTGATTGGTCAAATGACCCAGTCTGCTGTGATCGGTCAAATGACCCAGTCTGTTGTGATTGGTCAAATGACCCAGTCTGTTGTGATTGGTCAAATGACCCAGTCTGTTGTGATTGGTCAAATGACCCAGTCTGTTGTGATTGGTCAAATGACCCAGTCTGTTGTGAGTGGTCAAATGACCCAGTCTGTTGTGATTGGTCAAATGACCCAGTCTGTTGTGATTGGTCAAATGACCCAGTCTGTTGTGATTGGTCAAATGACCCAGTCTGTTGTGATTGGTCAAATGACCCAGTCTGTTGTGATTGGTCTACTCTGCTCTGATTTGTCACATATACCCAGCATAATAGGCACACCTATAAAATTAAAACTTAATAAAATGACTAAACTATACATTTTAACAGATGCAGATAGAACACTATACTATAATAAAACAATAATCTTGTACTGATTGAACAGCAAATAAACAACTTCATCTGACTTGTTTACAGTCTGAATTGAATTTGATGTGAGAGACAAATTGGTTGCTGTAAAATTATACAATTATAAGCAGAAATATGCAGTCTTTCTATTGTGGTGTGCACAGACACAGTGCAACAAGTGTAGTCTGATTCACAAACAAACTGAAACTCATAAATGATTAGCATCAGGCGGATTGTTGAAGACTTACTAAATCGCAAAACTAATCACCAATTTCAAACAGGTTTCCCAAACATTCCCTTACACACGTCACACGTTAAAAAGGAAGGCACAAGTTAATAGGTTTTTAATGCTCATTAACACCAAAGCACAATTTTTAACTTACGTTGACAGCATGATATTGTGCAAATATTGTGTCAAAACACCTGTCAATCATAGTAAGCTGTGTACACTGAGTTCAGTTTCATTTGAATAAAAAAAATCCAGAGCTCTATTTATTGATGCACGCAAAGTTCAATCGAGGTGACCTGCATCTGATTCAGGACTCCACTAGCAACAGACATTGTTCGTCTGCAGGTATTCTTTTGAAAAGGAATGAAAGAGTTTAGTTTTTGTGCCAGTTTTACACAATGTCTCATTGAATTGTCAGAGTAAATCTATACAGTTGAGTGAATGTCACACAGGTTGACGTCAATCCAAATTAGTCACAATGTGTGCCAGCTTAACTTTCCTCTTTAGCTTTAAATGATTTCTGCAGACCGGTTCTGCTATTGCAAAACAAGCAAACTCGAAGCCTTCAGGGCATCAACACCCAACACAACTAATAATCAGCGCAGACACTTCCAACTCCATATCACATACACCATAACCATCAGGCTTTGGGAAAGACACTTGCAAATCATTGTGCTTAGTTTCTCTGAAAAGTTCATGCCTTATTCAAAAACGACAAGTACTCCTGATTTCTAAAACCAATAGCAATGGATAAAAATATTTTTACATGCAACGTGCATGATAACAACACAAAGCCTTACAGCCAAGCTAATATTTTAAGTAGATGTTTTGTAGGGTCTTTGAGAGCAATGCAGTTTGTTCACATTGGAAGAACGTGTGATGAATATTGGCAGACAGAAGTTATGGTCTTTAGTGGTAGTGGCACATCTGAGACCCCCTTGATTGATCTGGGTTCTTTAGCACAGTATCACAAGCAAATCATTACTAATCTGGGGGTAAAGGTGGACACTGACCTTAAGTTTGACAACCAGATTAAAGCCATAGTGAAGTCCAGCTTTTTCCAGTTAAGGCAGTTGGCAAAAATTAAACCATAAATCAATCCTACTGAAGCCTTTGAAACCACTAGGCTTGATTACTGCAATGCACTTTATTTGGGGGTTAGTGGGTCCTCCATTGTCCGTCTGCAACTGGTTCAAAATGCTCGTCTCTTAACTGGCACAGGAAAGTATGAGCAGATTTCAGCTATTTTAGCTTCACTCCACTGGCTGCCTGTTCATTTTAGGATTCATTTTAAACTCCTTTTATTTGCTTTTGAATGGTCTTGCCCCACCGTACCACGCACCCCTACATTCCCAGCTGTTCCCTCAGGACAGCTTATCAGCTGCTCCTCACAGTGCCTAGAATTAGACTAAAACTCCAAAACTTTGGTATGCACTGCCACAACACATCAGTCGAGCCTCCTCATTTTAAATCTTTGCTTAAAACCCATCTTTTTACTCTGGCTTATAACACCAGGTTATGGAAGCTTGTTTCCGCAACTGAATAAAAAAAATAAATAATAATAATTGCGACTTTTTATCTCACAATTGCGTGTTATAAAGTCAGAATAGTGAGATATAAAGTCAGAATTGCGAGATATATAAAGTCAGAATTGCGTGTTGTAAAGTCAGAATTGTGAGATATAAAGTCAGAATTGCGAGATATAAAGTCAGAATTGCGAGATATATAAAGTCAGAATTGCGTGTTGTAAAGTCAGAATTGCGAGATATAAAGTCAGAATTGTGAGATATAAAGTCAGAATTGCGAGATATATAAAGTCAGAATTGCGTGTTATAAAGTCAGAATTGCGAGATATAAAGTCAGAATTTTGAGATATAAAGTCAGAATTGCGAGATATAAAGTCAGAATTGCGAGATATAAAGTCAGAATTGCGAGATATAAAGTCAGAATTGCGAGATATAAAGTCAGAATTGCGAGATATATAAAGTCAGAATTGCGTGATATAAAGTCAGAATTGCGAGATATAAAGTCAGAATTGTGAGATATAAAGTCAGAATTGCGAGATATAAAGTCAGAATTGCGTGTTATAAAGTCAGAATTGCGAGATATAAAGTCAGAATTTTGAGATATAAAGTCAGAATTGCGAGATATAAAGTCAGAATTGCGAGATATAAAGTCAGAATTGTGAGATATAAAGTCAGAATTGCGAGATATAAAGTCAGAATTGCGAGATATAAAGTCAGAATTGTGAGATATAAAGTCAGAATTGCGAGATATAAAGTCAGAATTGTGTGTTATAAAGTCAGAATTGCGAGATATAAAGTCAGAATTGCGAGATATAAAGTCAGAATTGTGTGTTATAAAGTCAGAATTGCGAGATATAAAGTCAGAATTGCGAGATATAAAGTCAGAATTGCGTGATATAAAGTCAGAATTGCGAGATATAAAGTCAGAATTGCGAGATATAAAGTCAGAATTGCGTGATATAAAGTCAGAATTGCGTGATATAAAGTCAGAATTGCGAGATATAAAGTCAGAATTGGGTGATATAAAGTCAGAATTGCGTGATATAAAGTCCGAATTGCGAGATATAAAGTCAGAATTGCGTGATATAAAGTCCGAATTGTGAGATATAAAGTCAGAATTGGGTGATATAAAGTCAGAATTGGGTGATATAAAGTCAGAATTGCGAGATATAAAGTCAGAATTGGGTGATATAAAGTCAGAATTGTGAGATATAAAGTCAGAATTGTGAGATATAAAGTCAGAATTGGGTGATATAAAGTCAGAATTGTGAGATATAAAGTCAGAATTGTGAGATATAAAGTCAGAATTGCGTGATATAAAGTCAGAATTGTGAGATATAAAGTCAGAATTGCGTGATATAAAGTCAGAATTGCGAGATATAAAGTCAGAATTGCGAGATATAAAGTCAGAATTGCGAGATATAAAGTCAGAATGAATTGCGAGATATAAAGTCAGAATTGCGAGATATAAAGTCAGAATTGCGAGATATAAAGTCAGAATTGCGAGATATAAAGTCAGAATTGCGAGATATAAAGTCAGAATTGTGAGATATAAAGTCAGAATTGCGAGTTATAAAGTCAGAATTGCGAGATATAAAGTCAGAATTGCGAGATATAAAGTCAGACTTGCGTGATATAGTCAAAATTGCGAGATATAAAGTCAGAATTGCGAGATATAAAGTCAGAATTGCATGTTATAAAGTCAGAATTGCAAGATATATTCAGAATTGCGTGATATAAACTCAGAATTGCGAGATATAGTCAGAATTGCGTGTTATAAAGTCAGAATTGCGAGATATAAAGTCAGAATTGCGAGATATAAAGTCAGAATTGCGAGATATAAAGTCAGAATTGCGAGATATAAAGTCAGAATTGCGAGATATAAAGTCAGAATTGCAAGATACAAAGTCAGAATTGCGAGATACAAAGTCAGAATTGCGAGATATAAATTCAGAATTGCGTGATATAAAGTCAAAATTGTGAGATATAAAGTCAGAATTGCGAAATATAAAGTCAGAATTGTGAGATATAAAGTCAGAATTGCGAAATATAAAGTCAGAATTGTGAGATATAAAGTCAGAATTGCGAGATATAAAGTCAGAATTGCGTGATATAAAGTCAGAATTACAAGATATAAAGTCAGAATTGCGAGATATAAAGTCAGAATTACAAGATATAAAGTCAGAATTGCGAGATATAAAGTCAGAATTGGGTGTTATAAAGTCAGAATTACAAGTTATAAAGTCAGAATTACGAGATATAAATTCTAAGAAAAAAAGACAGAAGTGCGACTTTTTATCTACCAATTCTGACTTTTTTTCTCACAATTGCGAGTTTATATGTCGAAATTCTGACATCCTTTCTCAGAATTGTGAGATATAAATTCGCAATTGTGAGTTACAGTATCAGGCTAATTCTAAGGGGAAAAAAAAACTAACTTTTTCCCCCTCATAATAGTTTAAATCTCACAATTCTGACTTTATATCTCGCAATTGCGACTTTATATCACGCAATTCTGACTTTATTTCAAGCAATTCTGACTTTATTTCACGCAATTCTGACTTTATAACATGCAATTGCGACTTTATATCTCGCAATTGCGACTTTATATCACGCAATTCTGACTTTACAGTCAGAATTGCGAGATGTAAACTCGCAATTGTTAAAAAAAAGTCAGAATTGTGAGATAAATAGTCGCAATTACCTTTTAGTCGCAATAAACAAGCTTCCATACCAGGTAATTGTGATTGATGTGATTTAAATGTGTTGTGTGGCAGTGCATTTTATTCACTTTATGCACAAAATCATTCGATATGAATTGATTTTATTTTTATGCTGTTCTAATTTTTATTGTTATGTATTATTATACATCTTACTTTTTGTTCTATTGTGTCTAGCTTGTTTTATTACTTTTTATCGTATGGTGTCTTTTATTGTTGTGGTGTACAGCACTTTGGAAAGCTTGTGTTTGTTTAGATAGTGCTATATAAATAAAGTGGATTGGATTGGATTAAACAATACATGCGCAAAATGAAAGTATTTCGGAAGGCGGCACAGTTCTACATGGAAAGCTTGATGAAAGAGCCTTTTTTTTGGTCTGGGAGCATTCACGATACAGTGCATAGTGTGTTTCTGTGTTAACACACACAAACAGACACACACACACACACACACACATGAAACAGCTGGAAACTTTCAGTGAGAGCTGCATATTATTACAGCCTGCAAGTGAAAGTTTCCGTCTGTTTCACGTGACTTCTTTTAAAGCCTGCTAATCTAGGCAAGGCAAGTTTGATTATTTCTATAGCACATTTCATACACTGTGGCAATTCAAAGTGCTTTACATAGAAAGGATTACAAATAATTAAATAAAGGAAATTAAAACAGTCATAAAAGGAATTAATACAGTTATAAAATGAATCTTAAATGAAGATGATACATTGAATAACCTTATCATCTACCATATTTTACATATAGTTTTACTCTTACACTGTGTCTGTGGTGTTTATTCGGCGCACCTAAGAATTCATGCTTTGAGTGAACCCTTGGTGTTTCTAGCTGATGTGATCCTAATGATCTGTTATATTCATCTCAAGTTTTGGCACATTCAACTGTTCACTTCATGCATTGGCACAGGGAGTCAATGGGGCGGTAGTAGTTAGGCGATAGGGTTAAGTAGACCGGTGCGTCATCTGCATAGCTGTGATAAGCAATTTGGTTCTTTCTCGTTATTTGCTCAATATGTTGCGATCCAGATTGCTCTTTTTTCAGGAGGGGCTTGACAACTGTGGTTTTAAGGTTTGGAAAACGCCCAGAGATAACTTCTAGGAGATGATCGCCTGTTTGATATTATTGATTTTCTCAGGGAATGTGACTTGGGGGGGGGTTTGTGATTCTCTCTTATCAGTTTCTCTACAGTAGGAAAAAGAGTGCATATGTTGTTTCTGTTTCTAATATTTGAGAGGAAAGTCTGTCTAGCTTTGCCTAGTTCCAGATTGAATTGAATGTCATTGTTACAAACAGCATAGTTAACCCTCAGACGGTCTTCGTTTCGGAGTCAAATCCTGCGTCAGAAGTGACCGGACACCTAAAAATGAAATTTCCTCCATCCCAGTAAAACCAATGCAATTTATTTTTGTTCTATAATATTTATTCTTTTTAATTTAGTATTTTGAGACAATTTGATTGAATTTATTAATATTTATGCAATATTTGCCATGGAAAAATATATTTTTTTTCTATATATATATATATATATATATATATATAATTTTTTTTTTTTTTAAATATGAATGCAGTATTTTAGTTTAATATAGAGTCTAGGCCTTCAGAAAAAAATTTTTTTTTGAAGAAAATTAGCACCATCTGGTTACAGTATAGAGAAAAAGCGTAGAATCATGGTGTAACCACTAGATGGCATGTACAGCTCTCTATGGAAAGGCATGTGAATTCCCCAGATGTTTATGAACACTTTTTTTTGTTTTTTTGGTGGATTTGAATATATAGTTGAAACAATCTCAAAAAACGATTTCTTATTAATTTTTTTTCTTTAAATTAATAAAAATTAGTAAATTTTTGTGTTTTTGTCAATTTCCCATTAATTTCCTATGAGTCGGTCATTTTTGACCGAAGACCAGATCATGACCTCATTTTTTTTTTTTGTATTCACATACACAATGCCATAAAATTCACAAAGTTTCGTAACATTCCGATGAAGCTGTGATTTTTAGTAATTCAAAACGGAAAATTTTCCGGTCATAAATGACCGAAGACCGTCGAGACAGAGTTTATTATCAGAATAAGATATTAAAGGTCAAGTAAGAGGTTAAAGGTCAGTGTGATGTAAGCTGATGTAAGCTAACCTGCGCATGCAGTCCAGAGCTCGCACAAAGTAGTCTTTATTGAGCTGGTGCTCGTCCCGCAGCAGAGAGCACTGCTCCAGCGTCACTGACATAGACGTCCTGTCTTTGGCACTTTTACAGCTGGTGAAGCGGATACCATTCATCCGTCGACAGATCTGAGGAGAGACGTGACAGATGGGATTGTTTTTAATTTCGCTGCCTCGGGATGAAGTGTGGCGTTGATGAATTGATGATCACTCTACGCTGGTTTAACTTTGCAACTAATCTGCGGATCACAATTACAGCCTGTTACACCCGTACTTTTGATTAATGTGCATTATAGAGATAGTTCATCCAACAAGTACATTACTCCATGATTTACTCGCCCTAGGTGCGTATGACATTCTTCTTTCCGTCGAACACAATCGTATTTTGTACATTTATATCGTAAGCTTAGACGCCTGACTAATAATGCAATAAACTCAAGCTCTTCTTCACTTATGTTGAAATCCTCAGATATTTCTCCTCAAAATTTCTTGATGTAGACTTCTAATTCAATGTTTATATGATGGATGGATGCATTTTTGGGGCTTCAAAATCACGCCCCCCCCCATTATAAAGCTTGGACGAGCCAGGATATTTTCAAATACAACTCAGATTGTGTTTGTTTGAGCTCATATACACCGAGGATGGTTTGAGGGTGAGTGAATAATGGGCTGATTTTCATTTTCGGGATTTTTACAACGATTGCAGCAATTACCCACTCAAATGTCTATTTTGGGACTGATATTTGAAAGGAAATTTGTTTAGGAAATGTGAACAGTTTTGCCCACTTCCTGCACAAGCTCCATGATCTCGAATTCAGCCTCACCATTCCTGCAAGCCACAAGATCTCCACGTTCTTCCTCTTCTTGGTTACTACATTCTGTCCGAGTGTGTCGAGCAGTTCCTTAATGTCTGTCTGCGTCTGAAAGCACGGCAGGCCTTTGGAAAGAAGAGACAAAGCGACAAGACACTTGAGATGTCACGCATCAACGAGTTTAAAGAGGGCTTGTATGTCCCTGTATCGACAAGCACTAAAGATGAGATTGAAAAGTCTGGGGACATGTTATTTTTTTGATAAACAGAGAGATGGAAAGAAGACAAGATGTGACACGCTGCGCATCCGTCTGTTGGGAGCATTCATCATCCCAAGCCGTCACGCTCCATAGCGGTGATTGACGTACCAGAGAACGATAAATTCCTGCACTCAAATCCTTAAAACATGAGACGCTGTGCACAAACACTGCAGAAGTGCTGCACTGAACGTGAAATAATAATAATAATAATAATAATAATAATTATTGATTGCCTCATTTTCATTCTCGACCTCATTCGTATTACTTTTCATTAAGTCTTAACAAATACGGTACGCAATTTGATAAACAAACCTTAGACAAAAATATGACAAGATTATCTCTTCATCAACCCATAATCAAAGGGTTTAAGTCCCATTATAATAAAACGACATTCTTTCATTATGTCTATTGGACTTAGAGGAGTAGTTCACTTTGCTGATAATTTACTCACCCCCGTGTCATCCAAGATGTCCATGTCTTTCTTTCTTCAGTCGAAAAGAAATTAAGGTTTTTGATGAAAACATTCCAGGATTTTTCTCCATATAATGCAAACGGTTACCAGTACTCTCCTGTTCGAACTCGTTCATCAAAATGAACGAATCTTTTCCCGAGTCAACTCGTTCATTTCGTTCGTTGAATCAACCAAATGACACGAAAAAAGATTTGTTCATTTTGATGAACGAGTTCGAACAGGAGAGTCACGAACGTGCGTCACAGAACAGAGCAAGGTAACCATTTGAGCTTATAAAACGTAAACTTTGTTATTTTATTTATTTAATGACCGATCGTTTCGCTTGATAAGACCCTTATTCATCGTCTGGAATCGTTTAAAGCCCTTTGAACAGTTTGGAGTTTGCACTGAAACTGTCTTTTGGACCTTGAACCGTTTGGTTCCCATTGAAGTCCATTATATGGAGAAAAATCCTGGAATGTTTTCATCAAAAACCTTAATTTCTTTTCGACTGAAGAAAGAAAGACACGGACATCTTGGATGACATGGGGGTGAGTAAATTATCAGCAAAAGTTTTTTTTTAAAAGTGAACTACTCCTTTAATCTCAGTTCAATCCCACAATTATTGTAAGATTTTACAATAGGGTTCCATTCCGTAATGTTAGTTATACATTAGTGAACATTACATTTGTTACAGTATGTACTAATCTTTGTCAATGTTAGTTAATATGTTTATTGTTAGTTCTTGTTAGCTCCATTACGTATTAACAAATACAACTTTCTATCAGTAAATGTTGAGCATCAACTGAGATTAATAAATGCTTTAGAAGTATTTTTCAGTGATAGTTCATGTAAACTAATGTAGTAACCTTATTGTAAAGTGTTCCTGAAATTACTAATAAGAACGTTAAGAAATGAATGAGAATGTTGAGCAATTAACAACATGTCCTTACTATATTATTGGGGTTACGGTTTAATTGAAATTATGCAGAATTTACTGTAATTATAAGAACATGTAAGATGTGTAACAGGGACAGTGTAAAATAATGCATCAATATCAACAATATTTGCAGTGCACAATCCTAAATTTCTAGCTAATTTCTAAATAAATAGTTTCTGAAGTTCCTCATTTGCAAGTGGCTTTTGATTTATAGTGTCTGCTAACTGACTCAATGTAATATAAAACACAAAGCTCAGTTTCTTAAGAGTTGAACTTACATTCGGACGGCACTGTGTTTGTTAAGGATTTATAGTAACCTTCTAGAATCTCAAAGTTCTTCTGGTTTATCCTCTCCTGTAAAGATATGTCACCAAACCTGAGAGGGGGAGACACAGAGAAGAGCACAGCAGTCACGCATCGGCTCAGACATGCTTGTGTGCATTGGCAGCGCGCTCATGTTTCATGTTAATCAGTCAGTGCTTGTACCTCTCAGCGAAGGTTTGTTGCTCATTTATGCCCACGTTGAAGAGCACGGGAAGCACGCGTAGAGGCTTGCCCTCGCGCAGCTCGTCCGGGAGCGTTTGGAAGGCATGATGTGGGAGAGGTACCTCGACGGTGTAACGGTCTCTGGGATTAAAAAAAAACAGCTCACATTACCAGACTCTGTCAACACAAGCATGAAGCTGCTCAACTTACAGGTTCCCACAGTCTTTTCTTCCACCTTTGAAACTCATTTGATTGGACTCTTAAAAATAAAGCGTTTAGGCAACGATTCCTTAGAAGAACCATTTTTGGTTCCACAAAGTACCTTTCAGTGAACAGTTCTTAAAGGGATACTGTGTATTTAAAATGGGTCATTAATGTAGAAGAAATGTGAAATTATTTTTGAATTTGGAGCTTTCTGGACTGAGAAGAGACAGAAAATGTGTGGATGAAAGACAACAACTCCCAGAATGCACTTGCTTCGCTTCCCTAGGAGGCCACGCCTACCGGTAACAGAGCGCAGTAGTTAAACAACAAGTCTAGGCTACTAGTGAGTCTCCGTGACGAGTCTGCCCGAAAATGTGTTTCAAGATTGCTAAAAACGTCCGGGATTCGGCTTTTGCGTTCTACAGTCGCCATTCATCATGTTTCCTGCGGCGAGCGGGACGAGTGAGGGCCGCTGGAGAACGGCGTGAGGCCGGTGGCGTGATTACCGATGAGCGACACCTGTGAGACGCACCGGTCTCGTATCTCTCACGGAGGAGCGGGAATTTTCTTAGCAATGTTAAAACGCACATCAACCGATCACTTGTTTAGCGTTCATGTAAACACTACATTCAGATTCACCAATCGGGATTAATTCAGTTAGATTGAAACAAAAGCTGTGCATGTAAACAATGAATGGCGACTGCAGAAAGCAAAAGCTGAATCCCGGACATCGACGGCCGGACATGTCCGGGAAAAAGAGGATGGTAACCCCGACTACTCAGCTTTCTCCACAGAACAAGAGCCTGCTAGCTTAGCTTCCAAAACAAGATGGCCGACACTATGTGTTCATTCTGTGAGTGAGATCCCCCTCTATGGACGGGTTGAGCACATGCGGGACAGACCCGACTACTGACTGTAGTCTTTAGCCTCTGGACAACAAAATCCTCCGATCGGAGGATTTTTTCCAGACAAAAAATACATAAATCTCTCGTCTCAGGGGAATATGAGGGTGGAAAGCATGGTAATTTGAAAATACTACAGGTTTCCTACTAATACAAAGCTTAATGCTAAATCCTGAAGGATCCCTTTAAAAGAACTACTTAATTAGAGTAAAGAACATTTAAAAAAAACAAACATTTTCCACATGCAGATTTTTACGAAGCTGAAATCTATGTGAATATGGCCATTTTATTCTGATGTTTCGGACTGTGTTTGTGTATGTGTAGAGGTCTGGAACTGGAATGGAATGTGTTTGCATAATTTGTAGCCCCTGCTATTACATAAATGGTAAGGTTTGCATCTTCTTCTGCCATTACAGAGTGCTTGTAGAATGAGCAGGGGTCTCTAATAATAAATCACTCCACTGGGTTCACAGTCAAAAATAGAGCAGAATTTGAAAATGAATAAGATGTATTGAGCCCTCCGTTCAGCTCGCCTTTATTTCTTTGTAACAAAGTCTATCCTCTGGCATCAAAAACCCAAGATTTCATGCTATTACCCTGACAAAGTATACATCATTAAAAAGATACACAACTCTAATTATTTGAGCACTATTTTATTCTGAGAAACTTAGTGATATGTATTAATTAGTGTCAGGAGTTATGCAATTAAAAAATGAGTAAATACCTTTAATATGAATTATGAGCGTCAGCCGCTCCCATTCATAAAAAAAAACTCCTGTGCGTTCGTCATGAAAGCGCTTGACTAAACAACGTCCCTCGGGGCTTTTAACTCAACATTGTGCCAATTTGGAGAACATATAATAGATTCTCATAGGTTTGACGTCAGATTTCTCCTAATTATACTACGCCCTAAAAGTACGTACTCTTTTTGTGAAGAAAAAGTACATACATTTGAGTGTGTAGCAAAAGAGTAGGCAAGCTTTGAGAGATCATTTTACAGTCTAATCAAAATATATTCATATGACATGATCTTCAAATCAAAACATTTAACAACATATTCAGATTTTAAATATAACATGGTCAGACATGTGGCTTTAGCTTCAGTGATTTTCTAGATTGATACAATCCCAATTTCAATTTTATTTCCATGAAGATATTTCATAAAATATATTTTTAATAACTTTACAAAACGTCGAAGCTATTTATAATATATATTTTTTCATTACGACAATATTTCATTCTAAATTGTCAAGTGTCACCTTTCAAATGAGATCATATTTGTTTTTTTTAGTGCAAAGGGTTCATGAACTGAGTCTGGTTTAGTTTGGGGATTGCCATTTCTGGTGATTTTTCAAAAGTGGGGTTGCTGGCTAACAGGTTAAAGATTATTAATGGAGCCATTGTCAATAAACAACATATATATATATATTTTAAGAGTGTTATGTTAAAAAATTTGGGGTTGGTAAGATGTTTAAAAGTTTTAGAAAATTGTCTCTTCTGCTCACTAAGGCTGCATTTACAAAAATGCAGTAAAACAATAAAATTGTGAAATATTATTACAATTTAAAAGAACAGTTTCTATTGTAATATATTTTAAAATGTAATTTATCCCAGTCTTCAGCGTCACATGACCCTTCAGATATCACTCTAAAATGATGATTTGATGCTCAAGAAACATTTCTCATTATTATCAATGATGAAATCAGTTAAACCGCTTCATATATTTGAGGAAACAGCTAAATAGTTTTTTCCTTGATTCGTTGGTGAACAGAAAGTTCAGAAGAACGACGTTTATTTGAGAAATAGAATTCTCAGAACTTCAGAAATATTAATTTGGTCGATTAATGTATTAACTAACGTGAACGAACCATGAGCAAGACACAAAATGTACAAAAGCTGTCACTGGGGCTGTACCTTTTCAAAAGTACCTAAAGGGTGCATATTGGTACCTTAATGGTACATAATAGCACCTAAATGTCCATATTAGCACCTAAAATGTACATATTAGCACCTAAAGGTCCATATTAGCACCTAAAATGTACATATTAGCGCCTAAAACGTACATAATAGCACCTAAAATGTACATATTAGCACCTAAAGGTCCATATTAGCACCTAAAATGTCCATAATAGCACCTACAATGTCCATATTACCACATAAAATGTACATATTAGCACCTAAATGTCTATATTAGCACCTAAAAGGTACATATTAACACCTTAATGTACATATTAGCCCCTAAAATGGACAAAAGTTTTCCCTTTTTAAAAGGTACAGCCCCAGTGACGGCTTTTGTACCTTTTTTCTGAGCGTGTACATTTGTTACTGTACTTGTTAATATTTGTTAATGTATAGTTAATACAAAATACAGCTGTTTATAGTCTGCTCATGTAAGTTCACAGTGCATTAACTAATGTTAACAGGATTTTAATACTGTTTTAATTAACATTAACAAAGATTAATGCATGCTGTGCAGCAATTAGTTCATGCAAACTAACGTAGTAAACTATGGTTAACTAATGAACCTCATTGTAAAGTGTTACCATTAATTTAATATTGTAACATACATCTGAAATATAGTACACATTATATATATATTAATGCGACTCTTCACAGTTTAAAAATTCCCAGATATTTCCAACTTTTCCTGACTGTGGGAACCCCCTGTGAATGAGGGGTTTCTCTCACCGTCTCCCGCTGATGGTGGGCTGCAGACTGGCTGCTTCTTCAGACGCTGCCTCTGTGATCCTGAAGGTCACTCTGTGCAGGTCAGAGATCCCCACCTCCATGTCCTCCAGCATCCCTATTTCTTCACCTGCATGACAAACATCTGTGTTAACATATACATACACATATACACCATATTGCCAAAGGATCTGGGACGTCTGCCTCTACATGGACATGAGCTTGAATGACATCCCATTCTTAATCCGTAGGGTTTAATATGGAGTTGGCCCACCGTATGCAGGTATAACAGCTTAAACTCTTCTGGGACGGCTTTCCACAAGGATTAGGATTGTGTTTATGGGAATTTTAGACCATTCTTCTAGAAGCGCATTTGTGAGGCCAGGCACTGATGTTGGACGAGAAGGCATGGGAAGTATAGGAATTATAGAAGTCTCGGCTCTAATTCATCCAGCCCGACAAACCCGACAGGACCCACGGGTTCGGGTCGAAAATATAAGCAATATAAATATAAGAAAATATAAAAAATATTTATAAAATATAAATATAATGACTTGTGTGCATTTCTCTCTAGGCACTTTTTTTCTTTAGCTGGTTTGCCAACCACCTTTAAACTACGAAAGAAGAAGAAGAAGAAATGACTTCCTTTTATACTGAAATAGAAGTCGCACTTCCACATACTGTATGAAATCACTCGCATATACATATATACACAACTAAAGCATGCATCCACGTTTTATTTTGTATGCATGCGCGAGTGTTTCATGGATGTGTATGCGCGCATTGGGTTTATATGTGCATGGAAGTTTATATGTATATGCAAATTATTCACAAGTTTATCTGCATTCATTACTAACATAATATGTATTGGTATGGATTTCATATTATTTATTTATTTTTTTTGACAGATATCACATATATTGAAACATGTTTAAACAAATAAACAGGGATACAAAAACAAAGGAGAGGAAGAAAAAACACATAATATACATGCATAAAATAAAATATATATTTTTAAAATATGTTATAAAAATATTTTTTTCTTTTCCTATAGACACTTTTAATGTTCATATAATTTGGTAAACTAAGTAGGGGCATTAATTACAATACGAAGAATTCCTCCATAAAGTTTAACAACATTTCATTCTTTTTATTTTTAACTAATTTAAGTGACTTCCTCAGCGATTCAATCTCTAATAAAAATAGATTACATTTTGGAATGCATTTTGCAAATTTTTGCTTATGGATATAATATTTACCTTGCAAAATGAAGAAATTCACCACACATTCAACATATTACGGATTTCATATTAGTGTGCATGTGTATTTCATATATGTATTATGAACATCCAATAGTACTGTATACATGTATATGCGAGTAATTTGTAGGCGTGTATGCACGTGTGTTATGTATGTATTGATAAGCGGAGTTTGATTTAAATCCTATGTGGCACCTCATAGCATTAAAATATCAGCTTTCCTTGTGTGCAGCAAACAATTGCAGTGAATCATGAGTCACAACAGCCTCGAGCTCTTCAACATGGCAAGAGCGGAGAACTTAGGTCAAAATACACGTAATTATGGTCTTAAGGTGCATGTACAAGAGTTCTGGCTGTAATCTGCAATCTAAATAGCAAGTGCAGGTGGAAGTGTTTACTTCAAAGTTTGGTTGCTGTTGGAAACGGCAATACGAATAACGACACTATCTATGATCATACAAACTCGTATTGGCAATAAGCCAAGGTTGCATTACAGTCAGTAAAAGCATGAACACATATAGCCTCCCAGAGTCGGCGCCAGAGCAGATCTACAGGAGGGGCATTGGGTCATCAGCGGGTGAAAAAAAAAAGAAACAACTTTTACTATTATAATTATTATTTGCGAATTTCCCCACCACTTTTTGCCAGGATCGATGTTGCACTTTTATACATCTCGCTGCACTGATTTACCAATACAAATAAACAAAACATATCCGGTTACCTAGGTTAGCAGAGCATTCGCAAATAAATAAGAGGCGATAGAGCACGCTGAAATGTGTTGTTTTTAAAATAAAGTGATCAAAGAGCTCGTTGACTCGATCTGTGGTGCTGATAAAGTGTTCTCTTGAGCCTCGCGCTGCCACAATAAACATCTTCACACGGGCGCGCGCTTAATCTGTTGCGGAGAAATCTCTATTCGTACCGGTGAAATCACAAAGTAAAATGCACTCAAACATGTCCCTGCTTGACAACCACTCATAAACATCATCGGTTTTAAAGGGTCACTAAACACCAAAACAACTTTTTTTAGTTAATGATCTGTAAGAATGCAGCTTCATTAATGCTGTTCATTGATTCGAGTACATTTTTTGACAATTGAGTATAAAGTGTTTTGATTTTCAAATATATGGTGTAAAAACGTCTGTGAAGTGCTGCCCTCTTCAGGTTAAACGGAAAGCTCCTGCTGTCGGGGTACTCTCTAGCCTGGCATGCCAGACCTACATCAAGATGTTAGGTCTGGAAACTCTTCATTGACAGGGCTCAATCCGAGGGGCGGGATAAACGGTTGTCTTTCAAATTCTCTCTGCACGCAATTGGATAGCGCTACAGCCAATCAGAGCAACGAAGAAGGTGACGTACTAAGCGGAGCAAGTTGATATATTAAACTTTTACCGCATCCCACAAACTTAAAAAATAAAACACTAATCATTAAAAGTCAAAAGAGTTTATAACTAGCCTACGTATGTGTGAGAGAGAAAGAGACAGTATGTCAGTGTGTGTTTGTGTGTGAGAGAGAAAGAGACAGTGTGTCATTAAAAAAATAATATCATAGAGAATGTTTAAATACTAATATCATCTTACGAGGGAAACGGAGCCGGAGTAGTGGTGCTTCGGGGTGCTGGGGATGATTCGGGAGAGGCCCGTGCACCTTACCGATCATAGCGCGCACTGACACAGAGTAAAGCCTTTATACTCGACGACACAGCACGAGTGGGCAAAAATGACAAGTTGATCGTTTCGCCACAGCTTTTTTGTAACAGCGCGCGCGGCGCCGGCCGCATCCGAGGATGAACGACTTCAAACCGAATATGTCCGAGCTTGCTCTGACCGGCTCAACTCTGTCGTCATTATGTTAAGCCCGCCCGCCGACTCTATACACGATGTGATTGGCCCTACCGGAGTTGAGTTTTTCCAGCTAAAATGTCTATGGAGAGTTGCTAGACCACACTTTGCTGCAAAATAATTTTTGCTGCCGCTAGGGTGCGTCTAGATTTCTAGGCTAGGTACTCTCTGACGTAGGGAACTCTCAGACGCCACTAGTGGTGGAAATTTTGATTCTTTTCAGAGACTCGTTCATTTTTAGTTCGTTCACCAAAATGATTCGTTCAGACTCGTTCACTGATTCATTCAGTTTTTTTTTTCCATATACATCAGCAGCAGGTGCGGCAAAATGTGTTAACAACGTATTTACTTGTTACAAAATAAAAACTGATTTGACTTTATTAAAAATTGTGCCCTAGGGCCTAGGCTACTCATTAAATTGATAAAATAAGTCTAAATAAGCGATCAAAGTCTCAACACTCTTTTTATCTTTTAAATTACACTCTTTTCGGATGACCAAATCACAAGTGTTTTTTAATCTGTTTGCATACTAGGCAGGCTAGTTAACATTTTATTTGTTTGGTCATAACGAGTTAAACGAGGAGTTATTTTCTGTATGTAAGTTATGAATTGCGCGTTCACAGTACGGATACCTGCGCTTTGCATTCACTTTCTGCTGATTGATGAACTAGATTGACAGAATGGCCGACCTGGTACACGAACTGGGTATAGCAACCAGTTCGTTCAATTCGTTCACGAACGGGAGATCTCTCTCTCGTTCAGGCTCATTCAGCAGAGTAGATCCAACCAATTACAGGCGCCTTCTAAGCCCAAGCTGAAATGCTATTAGCTGACGTGAGTCACGTGACGCAAATGAGCTGGAATGACTTGACGCAAATAATCAATACTCTATTTTTTTTTTAATGTTTTACAGTTTTTAAACAAACAAAAGTGCATGACATGACATATATATTTATTTTTTAAAGTATAAAACCGTTGAAACATAAAACAACAATAATAAAAATAAATAATACAAAATGCACACAAAACCAGTGCTAGTGGTGCCACTCATATTGAAGTTAGCAGATTACCTGATGTAGTTTGTAGATTTTAGTAAAAACGAAAATTTTAAGCTGTCTTTTATTAAATTAAACCATCAGCTTGCACTGTTAACTTCGTCGTCATTATTATCGTGACGTTCAAACAACTGGTTCTTTCATTCACGAACGAGATGTATGTAACAGTTCATTGGACACGTTCAAACTCAAAGCAACTCAATAAAGGGCGTATTCGTTCACTAGATTCAACAAATCACATGCTCCGTCCCGTATCATACTCGAAGGCTATTGGCTCGAGGTTTAGTCACTCTTTGTCTTTGACAGATGAAACGGGCCACAGAGTTACACGGTTCATTGAGCTGCGCATGCGCGCAATAGCGGCGCGCAGTGGTAGAAGGGGGAATTTCAGTGAACGAGAAATATGAGTCAATGGATAACGTAAACGAGAATGATTCGTTCACCTAAAAGATTCGTTCAAAAAGAACGATTCGTTCACGAACGTAACATCACTAGACGCCACTCTGTCACGCCCTTGGCAGCCCCTGGTTCCGTCAAAACTACTGTAGCGAGTCAGGAGTTGGATTTATGAGTATTGAAAACGACCAGGATAGCATATATTAGCATCTAGTTAGCATAGCATTTATATAGTTATTTAGATTATTTTTGAAAACGATCAGGATAGAGTATTGTTGCATCTATTTAGCATAGCATTATATAGATAATTTAGATTATTTTGTGTAGCTAGTAGCATAGTACAGTTAGGATAGCTTCAAGTTAGCATAGATTTATCAGTGTTTAGTACAGTGATCAGGAATAGAGGTGGACATGGGCTTCTCCACACGCAGTGCCAAACACTGCACGTCCTGCATGGACTCCTCCACCGCAGCGGCGTCTTGATGTGAGTGATCATGGATATTTTAATCACAATTTATGGTTGAGGATAAAGTTAATCCTCTGGGGTCGACAAACGAGCCGGCGCATTTTGCTGGATT